GAACAACAAAAACACAGAGTAGAAGAAGCAGCAGAAATATAACGGGCAGCATTTTGTGAAAAGCGAAAGTTTATAGTTGGCGCACGTTCATAAAGTTTTGCGTGTTATACTAAAGATTTATTATATCGCATATATCGCAATTTTTCCTTTGCTTTTCTTTTCATATTTTCACACTCGCTGTGAACGCACAAATGGGTATATTAGTCCATAACTGCTATTGAATGTTGAATGATTTAAATATGCTCCTAATTAGATTAACCTTACTTTAAATAAGGTTAAGAGCCTTTGAGATGACCCCATGATAGATGATACCTATTCGTAATCCAATGCCCATTGAAAAATGATTTGGTATTTTGTAGTCTATTACACCCGACTGCAATGTTCCTACTGTTCGTTTTTTATTTTATTCTTATATTTTTTCTCTTACTTGTGTATACAGTGTTTGCCTTTTGCCGTCTATTTTGAGGTTTTTTTTTTTCATTTTTTGCCAGCAACAATAACAGGAACAACGCTAAATGGCTGGACAAATATGGCCTTCAAGGATTTTCGTTTTCTCTTTACTTTTTGGGTAATAAAATTAATGTGATTGCGAAAATTTTCAATAGTTAACTTTTCAACGTAAAAAGTCATGTGTGCGTGGCTGTGTGATTTTGATAATATAAAATGGTTTGCTAAGTGATAAATCTGTATATTTGTAAGTACGTCTGCAGATATATGATGTACTACTTTTCGTGATCTTTGGGACAACTGAAACATAATTGTAGAGTTTTTAGACTTTTTTCTTATTAGGTATCGCTCTATCGATTTTTTATCATGCAAATAATATTTAAATTCAGAGCTCAATATAAAAGAAAGAATTATAAAAGAAAAATGTATATAACTATATATTTTTCAGAATATTTTCTCTCTGAATTTTTTTTTTTATAAAATTGCTCTAGTTACTATGCCAAAAAATAATTTCCAATACAAAATTAACTAATTTTTATATTTTCTGGTTAGTTGTAAGTGCTCCATAAATTGTGGCCAAAGCTTTTTAAGCCGGCTAAATCTAGTTGAAGTCAATCTTGGCTATACTGTTACCAAAATCCTCTGACATGCAGTTGCCAACAAGCTGCAGTACTCGAAACCAATTTGTTCTTGGCCAAAAACCAAGAGAAGAATACAGCAGAGCCACAGAATAATTTGTTTGCAGCAGCAAGAGGAAGATGAAGATGATGGAGACGAAGGAGAAGAAGAAGCAGCTGAAGCAGCTGTAACTGTAGCTGTAGCTGCAGCGGAGGCCAACAAGGATGCACTTTAAAGTGAACAACTCGAGTGACAGGCAGCAATTAATTGAGCTGATGGCTCTGGACGAACAGACAGGCAAGGAATAAAATTATTGAAGGACGCAGAGTAAGCAAAGACTAAGGATAATAAAAGCTTACGCTTGCCAGGTACAGTGAGCACTTGCTATAGTGGAATTTCATGCAATCGATTTTTAAAAGAGATATACTAGCTCATAAAAGTTATTTTACTATTATAGTTAATAAATATTTAAAAAAATAAATAAACATATTAATGTATTAATACATTTTTAAAAATATTATTTCAATTATTTTTATTAAAATCATGTGTATTATGAAAATCATTTGAATTGTATAACTTATACAAAAAGTTCTCTTTAACGAGCAGCCTCTGTGGCTTCACACAAAGGCACACACATACTGACACACACACACACACACACACACACAGAGGAAGACTAACCAACAGCTTTGTCTTTATGTAGGTGAACGGCTTAGTGAAGCTGCTGTGCGTTAGTTTTTTGAACAAAGCTGTGGGTAAGCGAGTGGGGTGGGTAAGTAGCGCTTGGAAATGGGCGTGCGGGAGTGTTGGGCTGTAGTAGTGTTTGTCGAGGTTACGAGGCATTGGTCAAGCCTTGAGATTTTACGCAGCTGCGTAAGCTGCGTGGCTGTGTAGTACACGATAATGCCGTTATTATATACTATACGAATACACACAAAGCGCATATATACACACAGTTTAGAAGTGTGCGTGTGTGTGTGTGTGAGCGTGCGTAGTAGTAAATAGTAAAATACCATAGCATACTTTTTTGGGCGCGCAACACACACACTGGCAAACACACACATAGACACCGAGCGAAGCATAATGCGCACGCACACAATGTCAAACAAATTTTGATTTATGGCACCGCTTGAAACTTTTGCTAATTTATGTGATTTTGCAGCCAAAAAAAAAAAAAAGAAAAGCAACAAAAACACATACTAATGATTTCTAGCGCTTTTCTTTTGTGTGCATGTGCCTGAGTGCGTGTGTGTAATTTTATTGTGCAATCAACGAGTGCAGCTTCACATACATATACTCTGTGTGAGAGCCGCTCTCACACTTTTTAATGTTGCTCTTTCGAAAACGCTCTGAATCCTTCACTACCTCTCTCAATCTGTCTCTCTCTCTCTCTCTCAATCTCTCTGTCATTGACGCGTTCAGTCACACTTACTTGCTGCCTAGCGCGCCAAATTCGCAATTTCGAATCGCCAGTGCGAAAAAAGCTGCTTGACCAAAAACAAAAAAGGAATGCTTTGTAACGGCGACAGAAGCGGCTGCTCCGTGTGCAGCGAAGCGCAGCACAGTTGACGGCGCCGTCAGCGCTCACAGATTTTGCCGACAAAAACACACACGCTACGGTTTTACTACGCGAACTGTCGGGCAGGACCGTTAACTTTCGAACACGCTCGAGACGAGAGACGATTTATATGGCTGCGCGACGTTGGCGTTACCGTTAAAGTTAACGCTGACGTTGGCGCTGGCGTCGGCGTTTGAGTTGGGCTCTGCTCTTCGGCTTTTTGGCGCTCACAAATATTATACCATTTCATACACACATACATATACATGCATATACAAATATATGTGTGTGCATAAATGAATTTATATATGTATATAGATGGAATTTTTTCTACATTTGCTTTTAAGAAATTGTAGTGTACAGAGATTTTCTTACATGCGTTTTATAAACTGCAATCGCGCTGCTTTTTATTTTAATTATTTGCGCTATGTGATTTTTGCTTTTATGCTCTATACTTTATACAACACTGGCATTCATTTATAATTGTAATTTGTGTGCACGTTTTCGCTTGTGCAGTATAGCCAAACCACAAATGCAAACTTTCTTATGCTATTTGAATTTATTTTGTTTCTATATATTGCACTTTGGTTTTGTAATAATTTCAGGCGACGCGTTTTAGTTTTGTTGTGTTATATTTGGGCTCTTTAATGTAATTTTTTGGCTGTTGGCGCCTCGCGCTATAAACGCATCCACACTCGCCTGGTTCACGCACCGAACTGAAGACATGAGCGCGTCGCTCAGGCTGGGGCCGCTCTTTTGTTGCTCGCCATTTCGAAAGCAGCAGCAGCGGCAGAGGCAGCGGTAATTGTTGCGGATGGTTGGGGTTGACGTATTGTGGAGCATTTGATAAAACACGCGCGCGTCTTTTTGGGGTTGCAACGGTTTCTTGTTCTTGCTGGCGATGGCATCAAGACAGAGCGCGCTCTTGCGCTTGCATATCGATATATCGGCAGCTGATGACTGGCAAAAGCTCAGCTCTATGAAATGCCGAGTGGTAAGGCTGCCAATGCTGCACAGTTGACAAAAAGCTAAACAAGCTTTTGCTAAGTCGCAAATCGTAGAACGTTTTTTCTTTGCAAACAAGTATATCGAGTTAGCTTTACGATAAAAACTAAAATTGTATATATAGTATAATAAATAAAAACTCTTGTTTAGTTTTGTTTTGCCTTGTTTCATATCAAAAATATTAATATTTATTGTTTAATATTTGTTTTCAGTTTTTGTTTAAATTACATTGATTCATGTATATAAGCGTACTTGTGAAATTATTATTTTAAAATCAATTCAAAAACTTTAAAACTGATTATTGCTTCTAAAAATAAGCTACAGTATAACTTAAAGTGCTAAAAAATGTTATTTTTTCTTCATTTCAAGCCTTAAAAATTATGAACACTAAATTTGTAATTTACACCTAACTTATGTTTTTATTGATTTTTTTTACTATATTACTTTTTATTTATTTTTATTTTTTTGCCATATAGTTTTACATTTATATAATATTATTTAATATAATATATTTAATTGATTAGTTGATATATATATATAGTTATATATGGGGGTTATATATACAGTATTGATTTGCTTAGCAAATTATGGCAGTCTAAAAATATATAGTTATATATATATATACATATATAAGAATTCAATTTTGTTTGCCAATTATTTTTATATATATATTTTTTATATATAAATATATTCGAGTCAGCTTAGTTATGTTTAATGTTTGTGTATTGTGTTAGTATATATGTATGTGAATGCCCTCTAAAAGCAATGGTCATTTGTTAGTTATATTGAATGATCCTCAACTTAATTAGCTAATTTTAGTATTTTAGTCCAATTTATATAGGTTTTGCAGGCTATAATAATATTGATTAGTTTTGTTAATACCTCACGCCATGAATATATGAATGTGTAAGCGTGTGTGTGTGTGGGTGTGTGTGTTTGTGTCTGTTTTCTGTACATTTCAGTTATAGCTGATCCTAGTCTATATTCATATGTCATTCAAAAGTTTATAAATAAATTACATTGGATCTCAGCTTGAAGTTGAGCGAAAAAAAAATTAACAAAAATATTTAAGCTAGTGTTGAATTCATATTTTGACTTGCTTCCTCTTTTTTTTATAATATTACATAAATACAGTCAACTAAATATTGATTAATTATTTAGTTTTTTTTTTTTTTTTCATAATAAAATAAAAATGTTTTTCTTTTTTTTTAAATATTTGCGTATGTTTTCTAAGCAACCTTAGTATAAATAAGGGTTAGTTTCAATATATTTATATTTATTTTTTTGTTTAATATATATTTAAGCTAAAATTTAAAAACAAAAGCAAAATTTCATTTAAATATTTAACATTTTAACTTGTTTACTTGATTATTTCTTTAATTTTTTTGTGCATTTTTGTAAGCAACTAATTAACCTTTGTGCTTAATTTTAATTAATTTTTAATAGATATGCTGCTTTTTTGTTGTTAGATATATATATATGTATATTAGAAACACTTAAGATTAAGATCTGTGAGGGCGGGTTTACAAAATGCGCAAGACAGAGAGAAAAGGATTAGCGCAAGGACAACAACGAATCAGAGCTTAAGCGCCGCTGCTGCCAGGACACGCCGGATTTTTTATAGACTGAAGCGGCGCTCGAGTAGAGGAAGAACTACTGCGGCTGCGGCTAGTGCTGCTGCTGCTGCTAGCTACTGCCGTCAAATGCTGCTGCTGCTGCTGGTGCTCCTCGTCCTCATCCTCATTGTTATCCAGATCTGGTTTGTGACTAGAGGCTGGCGGCGTTAACAGACTTTCGGGTGCTCGCAACGCCGTCGCCGGCGAGGCCTGAGTGCGAGCGCGCATTGCATGCAATGCATTCTGAGCCATCAACAATTCATCCTACAGAAAATAGAAGATTTCATATTAGCATTATGTAGATAATCATTCATGATATGTGTTTCCTTTGATTAAATTGCCCAGATACTTACATACATATCCATTGTGGTTGTGTGCGTTTGTATTATGTGCGAATCGTCGGTCACAATGTTGGGACAAATGTGCGCTACACCAAACTTATTTGTCACCTGCTCGTTCTGCTCATTCAGCTGCAGGTAGGGCGCTCGCTTCGATATGACATGGAAGAAGGGCTCCATCCAACGCGCGCACGGCTGAATCGCTTGCCAATCGAGACCAGAGCTGCGCAAAGCCGTTTCACTGAAGAGGGAAAGCGAGGAAGAGAATGAAATTTAGTAAGTGAAACTACTGGGTGGATGAAGACCTTGAAGAGATCTGATTAAAAATTAATCACAGAGTTAAAACTCACCGATTGAATGTATGACTCATGGCCGCTGCGGCCAATATTGAATATGGATAATTGGCCATGCCCACGTCTAGGGTGCACAGATCGAGCAGCTGTGAGGTTTGAACGAACTCAAAGGCCGAAAACTGTGGATAGATGAAGGCTTCATCGGAATCAGTTGAAGCTGCAGCTCCCGCTCTCGCTCCGGCTGCCTCCGCTCTCGCCTGTCTGCCGATCTGCGCAAAGGAAGCTGGTGTGCGATTGCTCACATTCAGCTGCATATAGACGCCCAGCCAGGCGGTTGCTGTGATGGGGCAAATGTCCCAGTTGATTGTCTGCAGCAGCAGCTTCTCGTGCTGCAATATGTCGCGCTCGGTGCAGGCGCCGTCCGTGACATAGGCGAATTCACTTATTTTGGGCGGATAGATTTCCTCAACCTTGGCAGCGACAAACAGACAGGTGATGCCGAATAGCTGCAGATGGGTCTTTTGCACGTGCCTTGCGACATGCAAATACCGATCCAGATAATCGACGGCCAGATAGAAGGTCTCACGGTGCAGCTTGTACACCTCGCACACCTCGATCAGCCAGTCGAGCAGGATGGCACGCATGCGTGGCTGCAGCCCGGGATGATGCTCCAGCATGCTGCTGCTGCGCAAATGTGAATCCTGCTCATCCCGCAGGCACATGCGTTTCCACACCTCCGACGCATTGGCCCAGGACAGGGCGGGCAATGGACACTGACGAATCGGTATCTCAGCAGCGGGCGACAAACAATTTACGCTGGAAAAGGCATTTGAGTCTTCGAGTGCATTTAATTTCCTCAATGCATCCTTGCGACTGCTGCTGGCATCGCTGGGATGCTGTGCCGTCGTCGGCAGCTGTTGTGTCGCTGGCGTCCGTTCGCCATTCAGACTGCAGCCGGTGGCTGTGGAGGAGGCGGGCGATGAGCTTGATGAGTTGATTTGCTCAATTTCGTCATCATCATCCTCAACGTCTTCCTCGTCCTCTGGCTCGCCGAACGAAGTCTCCTCGTCGCTATCATCCAGCATCTCACCCAGATGGGCGACAATTTCTGACTCTTCGCTCGCATAGCGCACCACCACCGGCTGCTGTTTGGCACCGCGATCCGGACTGGGCGGACTGTCCGGGCTATCGGGCAGCGGACTGTGTGGCGCCTGCTCCTCCGCTGGCAAATAGGGTACCCGCTTCTCCGCCAACGCCACTGGCCATGTGTACGCCGTGGAGGACACCGACGACTTTTGTTTATTTCCGTTCCAGCTAAAAGGCTCGGCAACGTCAATGCCAAGGTCAGCGTCATCGTCGGCGCCGGCGTCAGCGTCAGCGTCAGTCAAACGCTGTTGGCGCTTCGCCGATGGCGGCTCGCAGCCAAGTTCAGTATCCTGCAAGAAATG